GGGGGGGGTGGGGGGGGGCAACGGCAGATTTGTCGGCCAGGTGCTGTCTCGAGTCAGTCAGAGGGGCCAACGTCAGAAAGGCCAACGTGTTGCGTACGACTTTTTGGTCCGGGGTTTTCCGGGGTAACTGCTGTTGTGTCCGTACCTCAAGAGAGAGCTTGTGTGCTCCCCCTCCCCCCCTCCCTCCTGGCACGTTTGCGCCATCAGTGGAGACGCTGCAAATCTACGATTTTGATGTGTTTATGCGGAAACATTTTCCGGTGTGACAACGTTGATTGTAATTGGGGAGTACCATTACGCGTTTACGGGCGTGTTCACCTCACTTTTCCAGCAAATGTTTGTGCGTGATGTGCGTTCATATTCCAAGCCCTTGGCTTTTGCATACTTCTATGTCGGTTCTATGGTGGCAAGAACGAGAGATGCAAAGAATTCTTGACCGACCCTACAGGAACCCGCAGACCGTTTCTGATTCTGTCTACCCGCGGGGGGTGTGCATACAAGTCAGCGTCGTTTTTGGTTCACCTCGTCTTGCAGACATGTTTTTGCGGAGGCTGTGATGGCGAGAGCAAGAGACACAGGAAGCGAAAGTAGGGTGACAGACCCTTGACCTGCCCTCGGCAGATCTCGGGTTTGTGCATGGCCAGGGATGCACATGGCCAGGGATGGCAGTCGGTCACCCGAGTGCCCTGCTTGGTGCCGTCGTCGACTGGCCCAATTCTACGGCCGGGCTTAAAAACTCAGCAGCAGCAGTATCTACAAGTACAGTGCCTCGTGGGGAGAGCTGTGTTGCTAGTGCACGAGGTAAGGAGGTATCAGGAACTGTTTTGAGCTGATCCCCCTGAGAGGTGTGTTTTGAGCTGAGCTTTGATGACAACACCGAAAAGCCAACAAAACGAAGGGGTCAATAGGAAAGACTCTATTTCAACACGCGCGTAGCACGCTTAATTTTCGTTGCGCTCGTTGTGGTTGGTATCGCAGACGATCATAACTTTCCACAGCAGTCATGACATCAAACACAGGTGCGTTTTTCATCCTCCCGACACCCATCATCCCGACACCATTCCTGCTGCCGGTCCGCCTTCTCCGACACGGATCCCCCCCCCAGGCTAGGCCGTCAACGAAACCGCACTTGCTCTTTTGCAAACACCACGAACACGCCACATCACGCCATTTTTTCACCCCGGAGCGGCACTCGACATCACGAAGCCCACGCACGCCTCGCACACCTTGCTCTCTGCGCGCACTACAGTATCGTGCGCATAGACTACACACATACTTCTACCGCAGACATCGAGCAAAGCCAAGACGTGTGGCGTGGTCGACGACCTTTCCAAGGTGTAGCTGCTGTTTCTGCGGTGTTCAAAACTGTCTCCCCCTCTCAGACTGACAAAACAAATAAAATGCTAAGATGCAAGTCTCTTATCACCCCTGCACTTTAGAGTGCGACAGCTGTTCCGCAACAGTGCAAAAGAAGCGAAAAGTGATTCCTAGAAGAAAGAGGAACCACCTCCTCGCTCCAATACAGCAAAACAAATTTCTCCTCCGCAACAAGACCAAGCAACAACAAATGATTGCCGAAGCTTGTCGGGGTCGCTGCTGTGTGTGCCGGGGTCAATGACACTTCAAGCGCTACACACGCGCCCATCGTCGCCACACCGTTGTGACCAGACCAAAATAGTGTATCGTCTCACCGCCCAGGCCAACCTACCCACCCATCCATCCCTTGCGCCAACCAGAATTTTCTCCGCGTCGCCCCCAGCGATTCTTTCCGTCCAGCTTTGTGCTGCAACTGCTGTCGCCATGACCATGCGCGATCGTCACATATCGTACTCAGTCAGTCCCTACTGATTACAACGACAACAAACAGCAAACAACCAACACTGCTGTTCCACCCACTTTACCTCACGATAAGAGACGTGAGGTTGCCTGTGCCTGCAGCCATGAGCAGAGGCCGACGTTGTGCCATAACGGCGTCATGCCATGCTGCTCCTTCGTCTCTGCTTCGTCCTCTTTTGCTGTTTTTAATATTACTCACAAATGTTGTTCAACCGCTCGGTTTGGACTAAGCGTCCTTTGTTTCTTATTCTCTTCTTGTTTTCTGGCCGTTTACTTAGAATATACTCGGATGCGTGAAATCGATTCCCTCTGCTCCTTCTCGCACACGGATTTCGCAATGTGTCGTACGACAGCTGGGCGATCGATCAGCACCTAGATGTTTTTCCCCCGACCCCACTACAGCCAAGGCATCATCTCCTCTCCCCAGCAACGGTGGCGCGGAGTCGAAATGGTAGCCATGTTATCGGCCCCCGTCTTGATCGTCCTCGTCATCAGACACGTCGTCCACTCCCGGCCTGCGGAATGTCGCCGTCGCCGTCCACCTCTCGCGGCAGAATGGGCACTCGCGCCTCACAATCAAACGCATGCTGGACAAAAACGCCGTCACAAAAAAAAAAAAAAGGAGAAAAAAATTGTGATACTATGCATATATGTATTAGTACGAAATTAACAAAGAAAAACGCAAAAAAAATGTAATGCAAAACGAGAAGAAAAGGTTGACGAACGAAAAAAAAAAAATGCCCAAAAAGTGGTCATGTCGAGGGCGGGCGGAGGACATTGTTGTCGCGAGGAAACACACAGAAGTGGGGTGGACATTCAACAGGTCGTCAATTTTCATATTTTCCAAAATAAACAGCAACAGCAAGAACACTTGACAAAAAATAAGTAGTTGGGCCCGCCGAAATCTGACAGACGACTCAAATCATTCAAAATGTCTCATGGCTCATTTTTTCTCACCAGGAAGAACACATCATATGTCCACAGGGGGCCAAGACGATGTCGACGTCATTGGTGCAGCAGATGGAGCACACAAACGCCTTGTCCACCTTCGCCAGCTTCCGCTTGAGCCGGTCCGCCTCCGCGGACGTTTTAGCCAAGGCCACCCGTGCCACCCGTGCCTCGTCTACGACACCGACCACGCGTGAAACGTAGCGTCCAAGGGATGAAACGAGCAACCGGGGTTGTGGAAACAGCCAAGAGGGGGTGGTGGTTAGAGGGTGGTTTCCATCTACGAAAATTGTTCGGGCGTATTCGTCATCACCATTTTACAGTAGCCGTCAGTGCCACGCGTTTAGCGCCCAAGCGACGACACATGCATCCGTGGTGCAAGTGGAGGCGGGGTTTAGAGGGTGACATCTATCTCCGAAAAGAGCAACATGCTCGGACGTGTACGTCACCACGACTACACGGCCATCGGGGTACCAAACGACGTGTGACCTGAAGACGCAACGGAGGTCGGGTAACTGCGCGGCGTCTTGCTTTTTCTCAACTTTGTGTGTGGTCCACAATCTGCACAACAAGCAGTAGTCTTGCAGTATTCCTCTACTCTCGAATGGTGCGACAGAGAAGGGCGACGCTGGGCTACTACACGTGAGGATAAGGAGAGAGATCAAGCTACCTTTGTGCCTGAGGCTCTCTTTCAGCCGCGCCCCCTGCTCGGTGGACAGCGACAGCTCCGCCTTCCCGAGGATATCGTTCACGGCGTCAAGAACCTGCGCCGAGCTCACGACACCGCTGCCGCCAACTCCACCCCCCCCCCCCCCCCCCCCCCCCCCCCCCCCCCCCCCCCCNCCTCCTCGACGCCCCCCTCCTTGTCTTCTCCCGCAATTCTGCGGAGCATCTTCGCGGCGTGTGCGACGATGCCCGAAGACGGTGTCGCCCCCGCGGCACGGGCCTGTCGGAAGGAGTAGATCTGGTCCCGGGCAGCCATACAGCGAAAAATTCACGGCAAGATCAAAGCGAAGTCTCTCCGTCGGGATCTGCGAATTCCAAATATATGCTGGATGATAATTACTTCATTTTTTGTTTGTCGTAATTGCAATCTCAAGAGAGCAAGTGCACACGCATATAGTAACGCTCGCTTCCCAGTGTCCGAATATCTATTGAGCCCCCGCCCACCGCCAAACCTCAGAGGGCAAGATATCGAAAACAGCAAGTAACGTTCCTTCGATTTGCATGCTCGCTACATATGCCAATCTCTGAATATCTATTGAGCCCCCCCCCCCGGTGTTTGCCATCGAGGTTGGGTTTTCGTCGCTTGGCAACGACGTTGTAAAACAAGCC